CTTTGGAAATTGAAATTATATATAGAATGCTTTGGAAATTGAAATTTTGTTGAAAATCGTTTTCATGGTAATTCTTGAATATAATAGTAAAAATTGAATTTGAAATATTAATAACCTTTGTAGTTCGATGATCGTTGATAGTAACGAGAAAGATTTGTGGTTAAAAATGTTCGATTCATAGGACATGTATAAGTAGTTTCAATTTCGGAGTAGATATTTTTTACCGACCTTGCGTGCATAGTTTATAGCCATTTCATTTCTATTCAATTAATACTGCATCATAATGGCAAACTTTGCAACTTCAAAATGAAGATCGAAACGAGAAAAGCTATTGTCAGAATTCATTTAAAATTTTAAATTCTCTGCGCGTTGTATCTCCTTTACGAAAACGCCAGAGAAACAATGTTATATCGTTTCCGCACGTTCTTTGAAAAATACAATTCCGAGAAAATTGTTACCTTGCGTGCGTCTGGAAGAATGTTCAGAATCGCTAAACAATCTCCCCAACAATCGAACCAAACTAAAAATCAACCCGATATTATTCTAAAATCAGCCGTCGCAACGTCCCTTCGAGACAATATCCCTGAACGTACATAGCAGCCGTGCAATCAAACAAATAATCCCGACAGCTGGTTATGCTATTGAAACAACAACAAAACGTGATTGTTTTAAAGAAACATTGAAACCGCCTGTAGCAAAAGGATTGGCATCGAAACAGCAATTTCTGGCCGGTGATTGCGTTCCTTCATAGCGTAACGGTGGTTAAGACTGATAACCGGAAGCCGGGCGCAAGGGAAAACGGGGCGATCGGCAAAGTGTAGTGAGTCAGTGAGACACGGGCTGAGTCAAAGGTAAGTGTAGGTTAGGTGGGTGCATGGGATGGGATGATATGAGGTTAGGTTGGCGGTGGACGGGGCTCGCCTTGGTCTGGCACCGCTAGTCCTTCCCGTATTGATCGCGTGCTCCTTTCCTCCCTTAGATACCACCCCCTTTTGCGCCTTACGTATCGCCAGCATTTGCTCTTGCCCTGGCTCGTCCACGCCGAACGAGACACCGGTCATGGATCTTTGTATTAAACGGTGGTTCGATACAATCCCCTCGAATCATCATTCGCTCGATCATGGGCTGCGAGGATATTTGCGTTTTATCACTCTTGCTCTTCCTCCTCGTTTTCACTAGATTAATTCGATTTTGTCTGTCGTTGGGCTTCTTACGACGCGATTGGTTGATCGATGATATCAGTGAATGGACGAGCTACA